AGCATTGAATATGTGCCTTGTATTTGAAATTGAAGAAAATTTAGTTCAAAATTTAAACTGAATTTCCTCCAATTCCAATTCTAAGGTGCTGATTTGGTGCTCCCAAACATAGCATTAGGGGTTTTAATTTGGGATCTTATTAAATGGTTTATCCAACTTCTGGATCCATGCCATATTGCCATGTATGTTATTTCAAAGAATTTGTACAGCTTGAATTTTTATTCATATGAAGTTCATTTCCTACTCTGCAGGACTGGTTAAACTCAATGAAGATATAGAGTTGCCATTATTTGACTTTGAGACAATACCTAATGCCACAAGTAACTTTTCGATTGACAATAAGCTTGGAGAGGGTGGCTTTGGACCTGTCTACAAGGTAATGATCGTATATATATAAAGCTATGCAGCATCTAGGGATAAATAGTTTCTGCTACCGACTCTGTTATGGTACCATCTCTATGCACCAAACCAGTATATGCATAAATAGTTTTCAGTTTGTAGTTTTCCTCAAAAAAATTCTCAACTTAAAACTTTTCATTCTGAATGCTAGCCAGTGCTATTCTTTTCAAAGAAGTTCAATCTAATCTTTTTCCCAGTCGAAGTACTGTGTATGCCTCTTTGAATGGTAATGATTTAAAAAAGATGCTTTCTTGGGCATATAGCATATAACTAAAAGAGTGTGCCAAATTGCACAAATGATTTGCATTCTGGTCATACTAAAAATAGTACTGCAAAGACACCACTTTTTGTCACATTGTTTGGGGTGTTAATATGAAGCATGAACTAATTGTCTTAATATAACTATTCGAAATAATCTCCACATAGAATAGCACAGTGAACGTCGAGGGAAGAAAAAAGGGAAAATGGAACTCTCAGAATGATAATTTTCAGGGTGTGTTGGAAGAGGGACAAGAAATAGCTGTGAAGAGGCTTTCAAAGAATTCAAGACAAGGACTCGATGAGTTCAAGAATGAAGTTCTGTGTATTTCCAAGCTTCAGCACCGAAACCTTGTGAAGCTTCTAGGTTGTTGCATTCAAGATGAAGAAAGGATGTTGATCTATGAATACTTGCCCAACAAAAGCTTGGATTACTTCATTTTCGGTTCGTATCACTCGAAACCTTTATTTATTTAGGCTTTTGTAGTTTTTGATAGTCTTGATGTTCTAAACTCAGTCCCGACAAGTTACTTTCATTATGCATGCTCCAAATCCCCACTTCCTTAGTGATGTTTAGGAAGATGCTTTTATCAAAAGCCTTGGGAGAAAGATCAAGTGCCACATCCATCTCAGTTGAAGATGGAAAACAGGATAACTTCATTGTAACAAAGTGCAGCGGCTTGAACTTGCTCCCAAGGATTATCCATGGTTGTGAATTTATAGAAGTAGTTTTCATTTAACTTTATGAATCTAAACAGCATAATGAATAAAATGGATGGGAAAATTGGGCAAATAAAAAACAAAGCATGTTACTGGATTGGCCTAAGAGCTACAGCAATATCAAGGGGATTGCTCGGGGACTTCTCTATCTTCATCAAGATTCCAGACTGAGAATTGTCCATAGAGATCTCAAGGCTGGCAATATTTTACTAGATAACAACATGTACCCCAAAATTTCAGACTTCGGCATGGCTAGAAGTTTTGTAGGTGATGAAATGGAAGCAAATACAAATAGAGTGGTTGGAACATAGTAAGAACTTTAAATATGTTGAATTAGGTACTTCTATTGCTCAGAAATTGATCTCTTTTCTATTGATTTCCTGCAGCGGTTACATGTCCCCCGAGTATGTAATGAATGGATTATTCTCTGTAGAATCTGATGTCTATAGCTTTGGTGTATTGGTACTTGAGATAGTTAGTGGGAGCAAAAACAGAGGATTTTCTCATCCAGACCACAACCTTAACCTCCTAGGACATGTAAGTGTCCAGAGTTACTACGTAGTTTTTCAATGCATTGATACAAAAATTACTGACAAAATGACTGGCAATTGTCTAAGCATGGACACTTTATAAAGAAGGCAAGCTTTTGGAACTGATTGATGCATTGATAGTGCCCTCGTGTAATCTTACAGAAGCATTTAGATCAATCCATATCGGTTTATTGTGCGTGCAACAAAGTCTAGAGGACAGGCCAAGCATGTCATCTGTGGTGCTGATGATGGATAGTGATAATGCATTGCCTCAACCAAAAGAGCCTGGGTTTTACACTGGAAGAAAGTTTCCTGAAGTAGTTTCATCATCAAACAAGCCTGAATCATGTTCAATCAATCAATTAACCATAACAATTTTAACCCCTCGCTAGAAGACATTTCATGTCATAAATTTGGTTCCCATGGCTGGAAAAAAATTCTATGTGTAAGACTATTTCTACAGAAAAAGAAAGTGAAAGGAAAAACAAATAATTTCTGATGTAGAATATTTGGCTGATTGATGCATATTTTGTTAGAAGACAATTTTACAAGTCCAACATGAAGGCCTCCATTAACTTGAAGTATTGCTGGAAGGATGAGTCAGATTTTTTGTTAATTTTGGTGGCCAGCTTCTTGTCTTGATTTGAATTGTTTTGATTTTATTTCATTTGTAATTGTTTTTATTTTTCTAGAAACATAATCTATCTATGAATTTGTAGCCTGGCCATATGTATGGTATGGGACAGTAATATACCCTGTGACTTCATAACTTATTTCAATAAAATTACTCCTCGGAAAGAATGAAGGAACAAACTAGCTTCTTCAAATAACCAGTTTCTCTCAGATGAATTTCTTAATATTATGATCCAAGTACCACCATAATGATCTCTAATATATTGATTTGAGTCCAGGCCATTTAAAAAAACCCTAAATAGCTTTTTTTTTTTTTTTTTTTGATAAGTCTATGTATAAGACTATTTCTACAGAAAAAGAAGAGGGAAAGGAAAACAAATAATTTCTGATGTAGAATATTTTGATGCATATTTTGTTAGAAGAGAATTTTAAAAGTCCACCTTGAAGGCATGAGTCAGATTTTTTGTTAATTTTGGTGGCCAGCTCCATTATGTGTTGTCTTGATTTGAATTGTGTTGATTTTATTTCATTTGTATTTGTTTTTATTTTTCCAGAAACATAATCTATCTATGAATTTGTAGCCTAGCCATATGTATGATATAGGACAGTAATAATGTAATATACGTCAATAAAAATTACTCCTCGGAGAGAATGAAGGAACAAACTAGTTCCTTCAAATAACCAGTTTCTCTCGGATGAAAGACTTAACATTATGATCCAAGTACAACCATAATGATCTCTAATATATTGATTTGAGTCCAGGCCATTTCAAAACCCTAAATAGCTTGCCCTTCTACAAACCCAATTAGAGTCTTTAATTTGGGGTCTGTTGGTCTCAGATTTGTGAGAGAGGGATAATTGGTGCTCTGTGAACTCTAAATAGCTCGCTAGTATCAACACCGACGGCCACAAACTGTTTAATCCAGGGAGCGGTGGTGGGCGGGCCCAACTTGGCAACAAATCTTGCGACCCACGACAAGCTTGCCGGAAACTGATACGATTCTTTACTTCTCTCAATCATTTGTTTATATTTTTCTCTTATATGGTCTTTGCTCTGTTCTTTCACTGATTTTACACATTCGATACTCAGGGCACCATTGTTGTTCTTTGTGCATCTTGCTTATTCCATTGGGCATACTGATCATCCTATTGCATCTTGTGCATCTCATTTCTCTTATTTTTGCCTGGTCGAACGTGTGTATACAGGTTTTTGGAGTATAGAGCCATAGAGTAACATTAATATTGGTAATTTTACTTATTCTATTTTATTTTATTTTATTTTATTTTCCATATTTTATTTTTTTGGAATGTACTGATTTTTTTTTTTTCAAAAAATCTTATTTTACGTCCCTCTGATTCATTCATCCCTGTGCCGTAAAACTATCTCAAGTCATTTTGATGAATTCTTTTGCTAAAAAAACATAACAAATAAGTTAGAAGAAAAATTAAGTAGGATCATTGTTAGACCTATCATGTTACTTGTAGCGGAGTGTGGGCCCTAAAATAAAATAACACCACCACATTCATGTATCAAAAATGAGAATGCTCAGATGATGTGTGGAGTGACTACAAGTGTTAGGTAACTACTAATTAATGAAAGTGTGGGAGAAAAATTAGGGCACCCATTGATAAATTATGTTACAAATTAATTATTATTAATTTTATTTTATCTTGGTAAGAAACTCACACCCCAATTAACCTCTATGAGGTTCACACTAGGCTGCAGCCCGGTTTGGAGATTTTTTTCTTATTTTTCATGCCTGGTGTAATTTCAGGTCTAAATTCCCCTTATTAATTTTTGTCCTTTTAGTTCACAATTTTTTTCTTTCAATCGTATCATCGTCAATAAATATATATATTTTTTCTTTTCAAAATTTGCTATGTACGTGATAGATTATACTTTACTGGTTTCATCCACCGAAAAATTTGCAGTTGTAAAATACTAAAAATATTGATAGGCAAAAATGCATAAAACCCCCCTCAAGTATTAGGAATCAGCATTTTACTCCTCTGAACTACAAAATTGAGCAAGTCAATCCCTCAACTATCAGAAATGATAAGTTTCACCCCCTGTCCTTTCCGGCTCATTTCCGGTACCAGCATTGTACATTTACAAAAATGCCCATTATAATTAACATTTAAAAAAAAGCAAATAAAATTAAAATTGTGAAATACCATCAATACCCTCAAGCAATTATACGGATCGGTCTTCTCTGCTGGGAATTTAATCAAGGGAAAGGTGAAAAAAAACTCTGCAGCATATTTGAATCCACCAAATCCCCAACATTAGTTCTGGATGAATCGCAATCGCAATTACAATCGCCTACCAAATTGAAACCAACCAAATCGATTGAATCCAATTCTAGGGTTTCTTCATTCACGACTAACCCTTTAATTCGATTGCCGGGTACTGAAGATCGAATTGTCGTTTATTTCACCAGTTTGAGGGGAATTCGGAGGATGTACGAGGATTGCTGTGCTGTGAGGATGATATTGAGGGGATTTAGGGTTTTCATCGACGACTGCGACATTTCCACGGATTCAGCTTATAGGAAAGAGTTGCAGAGTGTTCTGGGTGAAAAGAAAGTGACTTTGCCACAAGTGTTCGTTCGAGGGAAGTACATTGGAGGTGATGATGTGATCAAACAGCTTCATGAGGTTGGTGAATTAGCCAAAATTCTCAGTGGGCTTCCGATTCAAGAACTTGGGTTTGTCTGCGAGGGCTATGGGGATGCCAAGTTCATTCCGTGCTCGAATTGTAGTGGAAGCAGAAAGGTTTACGACGAAGATGAAGACCAGTTGAAGAGATGCCTCGAGTGCAATGAGAACCGGTTGATCCGGTGTCCAACTTGCTGTTCTTCTTGATAATATATATATACATATATATACGTATAGATTATATATGATAATATAGATATATATAAAGTACACACACACACACACACACACATATATATATATTATACACCATTTGAACTTAACTAATTCAACTTTGATGAATTTTTTTTTTCTGCACTTGGAGAGGGGAGCAGTTGTAGTTGGAGAAGGAAGAAGAAATTTTGGACTCAATTTACAGACAAGGCTACAACGGTCATATTGCAAGGGTAGTTATGGAATTATATTAGAAAGTAAACTCACGCGCTCTATTTGTTGCCGGGTCAAACTGATCATTTCTGATAGTTGAGGGATTGACTTGCTTGATTTTGTAGTTCAGGGGGGTAAAATGCTGATTCCTAATACTTGAGGGGGGTTTTATGCTTTTTTGCCATATTGATATTGTGTTTTGAAATATATAATAGACAGCTTAAAAACTTGTAAAAAGTAATTTTCTTCGGACTCTTAATTCCAATTATAAGTCACCAACTACATGTTATCAACCAATAATTTGAGACTTATTAACCTCTACAAATTGTAGTGTAAGGTGGATGTGCTCTTTCCTTTATATTTTGTGGACCCTCCTGCAATGGATCCAAACTTTTGCGCATATTAATTTGTTGCCCATATGTGTGACACCCTGGATTTAGATGTTCCATTGGTTTATTTGCATTTTTTTTCACCACTCCAACAATCAACGATCTAGCTTTGAAAATCAAATCCGTGAACCGAACTGAGATGACATTGTTTTTTACAAGTTTAGTCAGTGATGGTTACCTGAAAACTATGTAAATGACAATTAGAAATGTTCAAGGAAGCAATTTCACATTTTGTTTCTATAAAATATTCACATAAAATAAATAATAATATACTCAAATGATATTAGCTTGTAGAACAGTAGAGGTGAATGTCACCGGTCTACACGTCTTCTAGATGATAATATATTCCAATGATATTGGCATTGATAGGCGAATGTCACTGATCCTAGTCCTTCTAGATGATAATATACTACTTGATTTATTTGACTTATCAAAAAATATATAAATACTAATTGTTTATTTACAGTACTAGTGATGGTTACCTGAAGAGAAGACTATGTAAACAACAATTGGAAATGTTAAAGAAAGCAATTCCTTACATTTTGTTTCCATAAATTATTCACAGAAAACAAAAGATAATATACTCAAAGATATTGGCATTGAGAGGTGAATGTCACAAGTCTTGGTAATGAAAGAAGTTGATATATGGATAGTTTATGTGGACATCCTTGACCTTGGATTTGTTACCCCAAATTTTCAACTGCCTGCGAAGCACTCCTTTTCCACTACTGTGGAAAGGATTAGCCATAGTGTATGTATATAGACACTCAGACCCTTATATATATATATATATATATATATATATATATATATATATTTCCTTGGCTAAAAACTCACACACACTTTTGTTCTTACGAGAACTTGAACTCTCAGAGTGGTTCGTTTAGAGATTAAAACCAAAACCAATCTGATCTCAATGGTTTTATAAAAATTGAAACTAATCCAAATCGATGAGGAATTTAAACCAAGCCAATCTAATTCGCAAAACCCATAGGTTTGGTTCTATGGATTAGGCTTTTTAAACGGTCAAATAGTTTATTTTTATTTTTATTTGTTTATTTATTTTTTTAAACCACAACCCAATAGATATTCTCCCTTTAGAAAAAGATTGTGTAAAATAAAGAGAATGGATTGTATACATGCATTACTAATGCATCAAGTGGTGTAATTAATACAAGTAAACCTAGAAGCAAGAATAAGCACAAAAGTAAAAAATAACTAAAAAAATATAGTTCAATCAACTTTCTATAACCATTAGTAGTCAGCCATGTTAAAACTTTGAGTATTATTATATATAATATATTTGTATGTATATCTTATATTAGTAATGGATTGGTTCGGTCTGGAGTGGTGTTTTGGAAATTAAATCTGTGAACCGAACTGATCTTACGGTTTACGTATTTCGAAAATAGCAGCTGAACCAAAGGACTGAAAAATCAATCTGAACGACACGGATTGGAGTGGATTCACAAATTCACGGATTAAATGAACACCCCTACTCACCTTCCACTTTAGGAGGTAACGGAGATACTAATTGCTCCTTTATACTCTGCAGATTACCATGCTGGCACACCACCTGGTGTGGGATTTATATTTAATATAGTACTGTAAAGAGTGTGAAAGGAAGACTTTGGAGAGGACTTTTTGATTTTGATTTTTTGATTTTTATTTATTTATTTATTTTTGTAGTCTGCCCAAGTCTTATAACTATCGTGTGGGTTTCCTGAATTAATATTGAATGAAAAACAGACAAACCCCATTATGGGAAGCATGAGTAAATCATCAAAGAATTATGCCTTTACTATTATTCTTTCCTTCTATTTTATGTTTTCCATGTTAACAATAATCTCCGATTCAGTAGAATTAGGCACCATAACTACAACACAATCTCTTACAGATGGGCAAACCATGGTCACTTCAGATGGAACATTTGAACTGGGGATTTTCAGCCCTTCAAGTAGTACTTCCAGGAATTGATACTTGGGAATATGGTACAAGAAAATATCTAATAGGACTGTGGTATGGGTTGCCAACAGAGATACTCCACTTACTGATGCCTCGGGACGAGGTGTCTTAAAGCTCAATGATGGAGGAATTCTCATGCTTGTCAATAGTACAAGCAGCATCTTCTGGTCTTTTTCAAATTCATCATCAAATAACAACACAGTGAACCCAATTGCACAGCTTTTGGATTCGGGTAATCTTGTTGTCAAAGATGAGAATGTCCTGTGGCAGAGTTTTGATTATCCAAGTGACACTTTGTTGCCGGGCATGAAGCTTGGAAAGAACCTAGTAACCGGAATTGATAGGCGTCTATGGTCATGGAAGTCCATTGATGACCCTTCTAAAGGTGACTATTCATTTGGAATTGATCTTCATGGATTTCCACAACTTGTTCTCCTGAAAGGTTCAGTTGAGCAATACCGTTCTGGACCATGGAATGGTCTCCGCTTTAGTGGCGTGGTGGGTTTAAGACCAAACAGCATCTTCACATACTATTTTGTTTTTGATCAGCAGGAGGTGTATTATGGATTTGAGCTTCTTAATGGCTCAGTTTTCTCACAGCGGGTTTTGAGCCAGAACGGAATTGTACAGCGCTTGACATGGAATTATAAAACACAGGATTGGATAGTTTCTGTTAATACTCCTGTGGATCGCTGTGATTTTTATGGGCTCTGTCATGCCTATGGTAGCTGCAATATTGATAACTCCTCAATCTGTGGGTGTCTCGATAAATTTATGCCAAGATACCCAAAAGATTGGAACACGGCGGATTGGTCAGGTGGGTGTGTTCGAAGAACGCCTTTGGATTGCCACAGTGCATCAGATGGATTTCTCAAGTATTCCGGTGTTAAATTGCCTGACACGCGGTATTCCTGGTTTAATAGGAGCATGTCCCTCAAGGAATGTGAGACGGTATGCTTGAAAAACTGTTCTTGCATGGCTTTGGCAAATATAGACATAAGAGGAGGAAGTGGCTGCTGCTCTGGTTTGATGATCTGATTGATATTAGGGAACTCCCTGAAACTGGGCAAGATATTTACATAAGAATGGCCTCCTCTGATTTAGGTATGTATAATATATTTTTCCTAACATGTAGATGAGTGAGTAGCTTTTACATTCTGGTGTGGAAATAAAAAAGAAGTTGCCATCCTTTCAACAACTATGCAAGTAGAGTTGTAGAAAGGAGGCATAGAGAAGCTCTCACAAATTTTTCTTGCACTTCATACAGTACTTAGGTATGGATTATCTTATTAGATCTGTATCTGATAAATGCAGCCTCAGAATTAGGTATGAACGTGCTCCTTAGCAAACATGAGTAATGGATTTAGTTTTTGTGTTTATACCTTTTCTTCAGATTTGCCTTCAGTTATTTCAGTTAACTATAGAAAAGTGCCTTCTTTTACTGCTGCTTTAGTGCATAGTTTTCTTGCCTTAAATTGTAGTTCCTTTAAACTAATGGTAAATGTTGACTGTGCAGAGACACATAGCAGCTCCAATGTAAAGGGACGAGTAAGGATTATAGTCATTCCTATATTACTTATAGTAGTGGTACTCCTAGGCCTATTCCTGCTCTTGCATTTCTTGAGGAGGAGGAAGCTGAAGAGAAAAGGTAACATATCTAGAAGTCTCAAATTACTTTTCTTTCCTAATTAGCAAATAAAACTTCGAATTCTTACCAAGGCGATCCAACCCAGCCCCATCTTTCGTTAGATTCCAAGTATCTATTTTATGTCTTGCCCGCATTGAATGTCAAGATTTTTAAATTTATCTCCTTTGCCACTTTATGTTGGTCTTATTCTGTACCTCCTCATGAAAATTGAGCCACTTTAGCTTTACAAAAAGGGCAAATGGTTATAATCTGGTGGTTCATGTATGAAGTGTACCAAAATCAAGCTTTCTGAATGCTATTAATTTTCTGATTTTCATTTTCAGTATTCTTAGTGATACATTTTTTTCCCCCCCTAGTTTTCTTAGTGATACAAATTGATAAAGTCATTTGACCAAAGTGATTTATTTTTATTTTTGCAAATAATCTACTAAAATGGACCTATCAGATTTTGGGTCTTAATCATAATCCTTTCTCTTAGGCTTACATTACTTTTTCAGGATGATGATAGTGAGAGAAGTTGTTTGTCATGAAGAGTGTGTATTTGCCCGTCTTGAGAACATCAATGGTCACCATGAGGGGCTCACAACAAATAAACAAGTAGCTAACCTGGCCGCCTAGAAATTTACATTTGGAACTGATATGGTTTTTGCACTAGGAGTGACAGCAATACCGCTATAGATGACATATGCTGAAGTAGGCAAATGATTAAAGAAACAAATCAATACTGCTAAAATACATCTAGGGTGTCATTACTTAAGTTATAACATTATTTCACTTTC